TTTAGGGGTTTGGGGTTTAGAGTTCAACGTCGGATCACCTTTCCTGATCCGAAATGCAGATGTTGCGAGTCCACTTTACAGGCGAGCTGTCCGGGCATGAGAACATGCAAGGTGGCTACATTTACATCACATTTACAAGGTGCTGGTTCGTTGCAATGTTTGGGAATTCGAACTTGCAGGTTTGCTCACTTGCGACAAGCGATTAGGAGAATTACCGTGTGGAAGTATTGTGTTTGTGGTTTTCGGGTTGAGGCTTTTGCGGTTCATGTTTAAGCCACAGGGTTTCAGATACACCCAGCAGTGGAGTAGTTCAACGTTCTACGATTCAGTAGCCTCTGTATAAGCCTCTTGGTGTGCTTTGGGCTTTAGGTTTAGGACGGAAGGGCTTGTGGTAGTCCATGATCCGCTTATGCTTGGGTTCCGTTCCAGCCGTGAACTTGGGCTTTTGCAATCAGATATCCATGAGAAAAGGAGCTGCACGGCTGGCGGATGTGTTAACAGAATAATATAACCTCCTGTTTACAGTATCCTAGTACAAAGCTACAAGGCCTAGTATAGAACCTACCTGGATGCTACCAAAAAGACGTTGATTGTCTACGGCTTTGGGATCGCAGGAGTGGGGCTAATTGACCGACCGGAGCAATCCAGCCACCAAGTCAGGAAACTGCTACAAACAAGCAGCAGCAAAAGACAACAGGCATGCGAACTGCAGAAACAAGCACTAGCAAAACGAATATTCTGGACGCACGGTTAGTACGCAGTCACACCAAGAAACAAGCCGCAAAAACAACACCAGACGAGGCAGACAGCACATGGAAAGTATGAAAGCAAGGAGCAAACAAGAAACAAAAAGAGGCAAGAAGACAGATGCAGACACAGCAAGAAACCCAGAAAGAAGCAGCACAGCAAAATACAACGACAAAGAGTACCCCAAGCAGAGAATAGACACCAAGGAACGTAACCCAAAAGGCAAGAGGAGCAAGAAGCCACTAAGAGGAGGGTCGCACTGGACTTGAACCAGACCGTTAGAAAAAGCCCTACTCTTGAAGCCGACAATAACCCCCATAATCACCCTGTACTGACATAATAGAATAGCCTAGTAGAAGCCGTATACGACCATATCACCACCATGCAATCCCAGCTTGCAGAGCTGCAAAACAACCCTAAACCCTAATGCCTCAAGGAGCTCCAACAAGCCCCTCTGCGGAGCCGCGACCTCAAGTCCACGCAAAGGGAAGAGCAGGGGGAACTTCTCGGGCTGTCTCTCCCTTTCCCACTGTATGATTTCCTTTGGGCTGTCTGGTTGCAAAAGGAAGCTACCGAACACCTGATTCAATTTCCAAGAGCTTTTGCTCCCTTGCTGCATCAGCGAAGAGGGTTCATGGGTGCCTTGGTGCATGAGAACCCAAAGGAACCCTAAACCCTAAACCCTAAACCCTAAACCCTAAACCCTAAACCCTGAGTCTCTTGTGCCGAACAGCTGCATAGTCCGCATCGGGAAACGTCTCCGGCACGCCTTCCATGGCCGGCATCTCCTCGTTGGAACTTGGAGGTTCATGGGTGGTTATAAGTAGGGTTATAAGTAGGGTAACTATAATTATAACCCATATTAGGGGACTTATAACCCCACTTATAACTACCCATGAACCTCCAAGAAGGCTCATCCAGCTGCCATCGTGGCTGCAGGACACGCGGCACGAAGCACTTGGGAGCTAGTTGCTGTGTTTACTTGAGATGGTGCCCGTAGTTGGGTAGCAAATGCAAATCAGCATGTCGTGATTTGACCGACCTTTGAGGCCCGAGCAGACGAAGTCTGATCCACTTGCAGCAAGGATGCCGGAGCCTTGCAGCGATCCAGCGCCGTCTTATGTCGAATTCCCAAAACTTGTGCAGCTGCAGAGACAATCCCCGAACCCTAAACCCTAAACCCTAAACCCAAATACTCGTTTTTCTGATCTGACTTCGCAGACTCCACTCCGACATGCATTCTGTTCGAGGCCTTTCCATAGACCTCCCGCAGCATCACCAAGGCTTTCTCAAGAGCCTCCTGGGAGTCTTCCGCCTCCTTCACAAGGCTGCAGGAGTAAACGCGCGAGGACCCTGGAAGTGGAGACTTCGGAATGAAAGGAAGGACGTCACTTTTGAATCTCTCTGTCTACGGATTGGCTAACTGACATCACTCATTCTCACTGCTGCTCCATAAACACAAGCATGGTCGCCATGTAACTAAGGCGTTAAAGCCACAGGATCACTGCCACGCATCGCCTTTATGCTGGCGGCATTTCGCGTCTTGGAGTCCGTCCTCTCCTTGTGAGCCTCGCAGGACACGCGCGAGGTTCTCTAAAGCTGTAGTTCTAGATCAAGACGCTTCACCTCCTCGGCAGCACGACCGAGCTTCTCCACATCCAGGCGGAGTGCTGCTTCGTCCTTCTTGCCGGTGACGCACACCAAAATCATGATGCGACTACACTTCCTGCTTCAGACTCCAGCTTGGGCAACATTGGCTTGACGGACAATAGACGGATGAGCGAACAAGCAGCATTCTCGCATCCTCTGTCAGCTGCTGCACCTCTGCGGCCGCTTCCTCCAGCCTTGGAGCGACAAGAGACGTTGTATGGCAAGGGCCCCGCCCCATCTGCGCTGCCCTTCTCAAGGGACCTCTTTGAAAATGTCAGCTTCAACCCGGAGCAACCCCTCTGTGCCGCCTCTGAGACAACCTGACAGTACCCCCGGTGCTTCGACTCTTCGAGGGGCTCTCCGCGGAGCTCTGCTGCGGCATCTTTGGCCGCCTGGAAGGCTTCAGGACGAGATAATATGATCACATAGCGTATATACATCCATACCCACGTACATGCATATATATATATATATGTAGAGAGAGAGAGAGAGCTAGATAGACAGACAGACAGACAGACAGATGCGTACACACATGCATGCATACATATATGTGTGCATCCATCAATCCATCCATCCATCCATCCACGCGTACATAGGTACGTACATACATGCGTGAATGCATGCACGCATGCATGCCAGAATGCATATATACCTTCATACAATATACTCTACACACTATATTATACGCTATAGACAAAAGATGATGGACTATACACTGTACGCTACATGCTGTAGACTGTGTAATTGCATACTGCGATACGGCTACTACATGTCTCATGAGCCCACGGCAAGACTCACCCCAGCTGAATGCTACAGCTAAAAGCTTGAGTTATGAATCAGACCCTGCATCTGAAGACAAACTTGAAAGACCCGAACCACATCGTGACTCTACCCTTTTCCGGGCACCGTCTCTGCGGCGCGGCTCGTCGCAAGCTCTTTTGAGCAGAATGCCTTGAAGACTTGGTTTCGGGCAGGGTTGCGGGAACCAGTTTGATAAAGGTCAGGTGAGCTTCGGTGAGCTTTGGGTTTATGTGATTCCTGCCTGCTAGCTCCCTAGTCCTGCCAGCGTTCTTCCTGCTTCCGGCAGACCCCAGTTATCGCCTACCCTGGTTTGCCTCAGACAACAATCAGCTCACCCCAGGCCCCAGCCCGCAGCTTCTCCTGGCCTGCTTCTCTCCTGCTTCCCGGCTGGCCTGGTGGCAGCGCGGAGCTTGCCGACCGAAAACCGCTTCCACGTGCAAGCCGATGCCGTCTTCTTTGGGTCATCAGGGAAAACCCGAACCTTTACCAACCAAGCTGGTGCATGGGCCATGACTTCCTTCGCACAACACTTTCCGCTCGAGCAGCTCCTCCTCGAGGTTCTTAATGGTCTCCATGATCATCTGGCGGACCTGCCAAGATGAAGGTACAGCGGACAGTCCTTTCAGACTTGTTGGCGTCGCTTCCATGTGTTTGCATGTGTGTAGATATGCATACACACATACATACATACATACATACATACATACATACATACATACATACATACCTCTGTGTGCGCGTACATGTATTTCGTACGGGTGTATGTATGTGCGTCTGTCTTTCTGTCTGTCTGTCTGTCTGTCTGTATGTATGTATGTATGTATGTATGCATCTATGTATGTCTGTCTGTCTGTCTGTCTGTCCGTCTCTGTCCGTCTTTGTCCGTCTCTGTCCGTCTCTGTCCGTCTCTGTCCGTCTCTGTCTGTCTCTGTCCGCCTCTGTCCGTCTCTGTCCCTGTCTGTCCCTGTCTGTCTGTCTGTCTG